GCAAAAGTTCTTTCTCGACCTCGGGTACGATGGAGGGAGTGAAGTAGGCTACGAAGTCTGCCAAAATCTGAGATTTGATAGCCATTCGGGGCTGATATTCGATATTATATCCCCCGAGTTCGATGCCCCATTTGGCCAGTCGGCCCGACAATTCGGGTTTATGCAATATGCTTCAAAGGGGATATGTTGTTAAAATGCAAATATGATGGCATTGGAAGTAAGGTTTCAATTTTCGAGACACACTTATTAATGCAAGAGCTAGTTTTTCCAGGTGCGGATACCTGGTTTCGGCATAACCCAGGGTTCGACTTACGTAATAAATAGGGAATTGCGTACCTTGTTCTTCTCAAACCAGCACACCACTTACCTCTATTTTGGATACGGTCAGGTATAAATACAATGTCTCATCCTCTTTTAGGGTGTGGAGCAAAGGCGGGCTTGTCAGGTATCGCTTCACCTCCTCCAAGGCGCGTTGGCATTCTGAAGTCCATTCGAAGTTGTTATTCTTTTTGAGCAGGGAGAAGAAATGGTGACTTCTGTCCGACGAACTTGATATACACCGGCCCAAGGCTGCTATCTGCCCGGTCAGCCGTTGCACGACCTTTACGTTATTTACCCCCGTCATTCATATGATCATCGGAGGGGTCGATGTTCATCAAGGTCTGATGATAAAGCACACCAAAGTATCAATGCTGCTCCATAATGATGCACTGGTAATTTCTGTACTCATGAATAAAACTTGAGTTAAACATGTGCTAATTGATCCAGGTAGCTTGGCCAAAATCATTCGATCGAGGGTCATAGAACAACTTGGCCTATAGGACCAAATCATACCTGCGACCTGAGTGCTAAACGGATTCAACATGGCTTGTGAAACTTTAAGAGAGTAATAATGTTGCCGGTAAACGTAGCCGGTACCACCCAAGAAACCATGTTTTATGTAATCGAAGGGGACATTAGGTACAATGCCCTGCTTGGGAGGCCATGGATCCGCAACATGAGGTCTGTGCCCTCGACCCTTCAACAGTTATTAAAATTTCAAACAGCAGAAGGGATAAAGACGGTTTACGGGGAGCAACCCGCTGCAAAGAAGATGTTTGCCATTGATGAAGCAATCCCGATATCAACTCTCTTATCAATAAAGGACTCAGGTTTGATAGTAAAATAGGAAGCAAAATAGCAATCACCGATGCCAGCCTCGACCCAATCTGACAAGCAAGAGATTGAGGAAGACGACAATTACAAGGTTCCTCGAACCTTTATAGCTCCCGATGATTTCGATGCTACTAAATCAACGATCGAAGAGCTGGAGGAAGTCGTACTAATCGAACATCTGCCCGATCAAAAGGTATACCTGGGCATGGGGTTAACTCCCGAGCTCAGGAAAAAGCTCATTTAATTTCTTATAGCTAATAAAGATTGTTTTGCTTGGTCCGATCTCGATATTATAGGGATCCAACCGGAGATCACCACTCACAAGCTGAGCTTGGACCCGAAGTTCTATCCGGTAAAGATGAAAAGGAGACCTCAGTCCAAGATCAAGTGTGCCTTCATCAAGGACGAGATAACTAAACTCCTTAAAATAGGGTCCATTTGAAGTTGTTTTTCCTTTTGAGAAGGGAGAACAAAATGATGACTTCTGTCCGATGACCTTGGTATAAACTGGTCCAAGGCTGCTATCCGCCCGGTCAGGCGCTGCACGACTTTTACGTTATTTACCACCATAATTTCTTCGATGGCTTTGATTTTATCAGGGTTGATCTCGATTCCTCTATTCAATTCCATGAAACCTAAGAATTTGCATGGTCCTACCTCGAAGGCACACTTCTTGGGATTGAGTTTCATGTTGTAACTTCTGAGGATGTCAAATGTTTCCTGCAAATGAATCAAATGGTCCTCTGCGCACAGGGACTTAACTAGCATATTGCCAATATAAACTTCCATGAACTTGTCTATTTGATGCTCGAACATCTTATTAACTAGGCATTGGTATGTGGCCCCTGCATTTTTTTGCCCTAAGGGCATTATATAGTAATAGTTCGTACCGTACTTCGTGATGAACGAAGTCTTTTGTCTATCCTCGGGGGTTCATCTGAATTTGATTATACCCCGAATAGGCATCCAGAAAAGTGAGGGTTCCATGGCAGACCGTGGCGTCAATCAAACGGTCGATGTTGGGCAGTGGGAACGAGTTCTTTGGGCATGCCCTATTTAGATCTTTGTAATCTACGCACATTCTTAGTTTATTCCCCTTTTTGGGAACTACCACCATATTGGCCAGCCGTTCGGGATATTTTACTTCCCTAATAGACACTATTTTGAGGAGCTTCGTTACCTCGTCTTTGATGAATGCATGCTTTATCGAGGACTGGGATCACCTTTTTTGCTTCACCGGTTTGTACCTGGGGTCGACACTTAGTCGATGGGTAGTTATCTCATGTGGGATCCCTGTCATGTCTAAATGGGATCAAGCAAAGCGATCGATGTTGTTAATAATGAGTTGAATGAGTTTTTTCCTGAGTTCGGGGTGCGTTTACCGAGATAGACATTTTGACATAAAATCAAAGATTCTTGGATAAGAAAAGGTGTGAAAGATAACTTGCGTTATGTAGTAAACCAGCAAGAAAACAATCACTATTATTTTTAGCCCCACGGTGGGCGCCAAACTATTTACCTTGAAAATGGTAATAATAATTAGATTTGATTTTGTGGTTCTAAAAATATGTGATCTATTTTTATGCTAGTTTTTAGGCCATAGATGCGAAGTGAAAGATTAGGGAAGAATAAGATAATAGCTTGTGAATAGTGTAATAATCAAACCGAATGGCTGGAAATCGGGGCCTCGAGCTTGCGTATACAGGGCCTCGAGGTCGAGTCGGATGCCCGGCTAAAGACAGTCGATGGAGGAATAACAATTATGATAAACTTGATGACGGCACTTTATGACCAATAATGAGCAATAAATGAAGAACAATTAATGAAGTGTAACAAATATGAGCAAGACGATAAATGTAAGTAATTGGATCGAACAGAGAATATGTTTTAGTTCGAGAGAAGAGAATGTTCTTGTATTGGATATAGCGTGTAATGATATTGTCCATTCCCCTTACAAAAATGACAAGGGTTCCCTTTATATATGAGGGGAAAATCCCAATATGACACATGCATAATTATTACATAAATTAGCTGGTACAACCACCCAATCAGCCTGGTGCAGGTGTCACTGTTTGCGCAGGCGTTGTCAGAAAATACTGCTCCTAAGAAACTTCCCACTTACTTGTGATAAGCACCGGTTCATTCTGCCCCGACACCGGGCACGAAGAATTCTCGAAGACATCGAACCCTGAGCTATTCTCCGGTCCTTCGAGATGAAATTACGTAATGCCTCGTTGACCGTAAAATTGGTCTTCCCGATTTTAGCCATATACATAGGTGTTAAAAACACTCCAAAATCAGAGAAGATATAGTGAAAAAAAAAAGGGTTAAAAGCTGCTTCTAATCTCTCTGGATTCTTGCATCATTTCTGGGTTCAAAAGTTTGGTTGATTTGAAGCAATTACTGATTTTAATGCTGTTGTCTCTTTTTGCCGTATAACGGATCTCATCCATAAGCGTCCTGGGCTTCTATTTGACTTGGCCGAGTTTCTTTCTTTGCAATTAAGTTTCTTATAAGGCTTTATGATTTGCAATGAGCTTAATGAATAAGACATAGTTGATTAATGTAACGCGTTGGTCGATTTGGAAGATCTTTGCCTGTTTTATGTATTATTCATGCCTACAACATGTCTATTCTCATGAATAGTTTACTGGTGATTAGAGGTTTAGTCCTTAGATGTAAAGTGACCTCCGCAGGAGTGCAATGGAGCTGGCCAGTATTCCAGAGTTATCACATGTCACCTATGTTTAGATTATTCGCATGGATAGTCATTCGTATAATAGGGCAAATCTGTATTTTGATTATGCCAGGATTCATTTCTGAATATGAAGGATGAAAAGGTGAAGTGAGGAAGTTTTCAGCTTTGTAGTTTTGATTAGATAAACCGAGAACATCATTTTTTTTTAAAAAAAATAAAATAAAATATCAGCTGCTGAAAATGTTTGTTTTTATTGTAAATTCAAACTATATCCTTTGGTGTAATGAACTGAATAGTCCCTTTCAATTTCGACGATTACATGAAGTTATTTAAGAAGAATTTGCTCGTAATTTCATTTACGTGAAATTGTTGGATTGTTTTAGGCTGTTGTAGTTTAGTAGAGTATCATTTATGTACTATAAGCTAATGTATGAGTTTTCTCCTTTTATTATTTTTCTTCCATTTTATAGTCTATCACAATTGGCATGAATTTCGGATGGTTTGCATTATTCATTATGGCCATGTATAAAATATTGATTTCTGCAAAAATTATGTCTGTCTTGGCTCACTTTGTTAGGCTCAATGTGGAGTTTGGCCCATTTGAGGGAGGTCTGCCGTATGCCAATCTGATGAAGGGCTCACTAGGAAAAGACCATGCAATACGTAAAAATTGCACGGGGCGTCCTATTTGGTCGCCCCCATTTAACATATACCTATTTTTTTAATTTGTACTCATTTTTTAAATAACTTCAGCCCCCTTTCTCCTCATCCTTGCTTTGCAACTCTCTCGAATCTTATACAGGAGAATCTCAGCTAAGAACCTTAGGACGTTCTTCCCATGCAGTGACACTATATAAATGAACACTTTCTTCCTGGTCTCTCAATGTCAGTCTCCTTTTACTAGTTGTTTTTTAGGATAATGCATAAAATACTCCTCGACCTATGACCATATTACAAACTACACACCTTTTCTTTTCGGGGATCTTATTACCCTCTTGAACTTTTTTTAAGTAATATTATTTACCCCTTAAAAGGCAACAACCAGATGTATACAAGGTGGTGAAATACACGCGCCTAAAATGTGTATTTCTTGCTTAAAAACTTTTTTTCACCGTTTTCTCCTTCTTCCTTATTTTCCTATTTGCAGGCCTTCATTACCATATCCGGTCAAAAGGCAAAAACCTCATTTAATGGGTTTTATATAACACTTGTTTGATATTGTCAGATCTGGCCGGAGAACGAAACTCCGACGAAGACCCTTGCTCCAACGAAACTCCAGTGAACGAAACCGTTTTGACTATTCGTAGGTTCTTACTAAATCATGCTCGTTGCTCCCTCTAGTTGTAGCTCTGTTTCTATTACTAAACATATCTGCTTTTGATTTCTAGGTTGATTTTGGCGTTGTATTGAATTTTTGCTCCGGTATTTCATTGTTGAAACGACGTCCCCCTTGTTCGTGCGAGAAGAGGTTTAGAAGTGAAGGAGACTAATTAATTTGATGTAATTAATTCTGTAATGTCCCATCAAAAGATGACACTTGTACTTATTAAACAATTTTAAAATTATTTTTGTTACTTCCACTTGCCTTTAAGAGAGTGTGCACACTCTCTATGCCACGCCAGCACTTAAGGTGGTGTTTATTGCACTTTAAAATAGTTTGGGGGGGGGGGGGGGGGGGTAATAGGACCCCCGAAAAGAAAAGGTGTGTAGTTGGTTATATGGTAATAGGTCGGGGAGGATTTTATGCATTATCCTTTTTTTTTGTTTAACTGGACTCTAACACCCACAGAAAACAGCAAGGATCTGCACAATCTCCTGAATACTTTAGAACATAGAATCTGGCACGTTAAATTTTTTAACCTCTTTTTTCTCCTCTATTTAGCTTCATCTGACCATGAATAACCACAATGTCCAAGTTTGTTCTTACTGCTATAAAGTTGTAGTATTAACATGCCTTGTCATTGTAGTCTTCGCGCCTGGAATTTCAGGTGAATGTATTGCAACATCAAAGTTGATCAACCGCGAAACACCAAAAACAGTAGTGATTCCCTCAGATACAGACTTCAGCTCTAGAACTGAAGTTTGCCAGTTACAAAACAAAAACTTCAGCTCTAGAGCTGAAGTTCGCCAGCTACAAAATAAAAATTTCAGCTCTAGAGCTGAACTTTAGGCACGACTACTAGAATGCTGAAGTTTTGCGTGATTGTCTTTGCTACTTCAGCCCCGTATGCTGAAATTATGCGAAAAAGTGGGTACGCTTGCAATTTTTTTATAAAGCAGACAAAGTTAAAACGTGACACAAAAAATGAGTATAAATGCAAATGCCCCATGCAGTACCTGGTTCAACCCAGCTCTATTGAATTCATTTTGTTTTTTGTCAAACACCATTCAAGAAACATTAGCACATTTTAATTTGATTCCCTTTTAAAATGTAGGAACCAGAAGAGCTCAAATACAAACATCTTCCTTCATTACACGTAATTTTAGTCTTGCCAATGAACATAGTTGCTTAATCCTTAATAAAGAGCATATGCTTTAGTCATTCAGAAAGATTTGAGTGATCAAAATTATACACCCCTGCTACAACGTTCACCCATATGCAAATGTTGCAACAAATCTCAAAGTAACGCTAGGGAAAATTAATCAACTTCTAAACATTCGTAGTTTGCTTTAGGCGCGTTTAATAATAAATAATCATTGTTATGGGTACACTTTTCGGGTCATAATCGTGATACATTATCCCCAATTCGGGTACGGATTTCATGTGATCCGACCATAACTTCAAACAATAATAAAAGTAAACATGCCGTAGATCGCAAGTATGATTAACGTGACGTGATTCGCAATGTGTACAAAAACAAAAGAGTGCGCAACTTTGCGACTTGTTCAAACAAATTTCATAAACGCTAAAAGGTGATTAAATTAATTAAAAGCGGATAGAAATTAAAAATGCACAATAGGTCTTAAACATGTAATAAATCAGATAATTAGGCAAATTATTAATAGTTGAGCGACCGTGCTAAAACCACGGAACTTGGGAGTGCCTCACACCTTCTCCCAGATTAACATAATTCCTTACTTGGTCTTCTGGTTTTGCGGACTTTAAAACAAAGTCAAATTTTCTCGATTTGGGATCTAAAATAAGCTGAAGACTTGAGACACCATAATAATTATCCCAAGTGATAACTTTGAAATAAATAAATAATCCCATTTCGAATAATGTCACTTTAATTTGAAAATCTTCCTATCACCTCGGAAAAAAGGAGTTGTGATAACTTTGGCGACTTTGTTGGGGACCGAACCCAGAATCTCTAGTTTAGGGTTTAGAATTCGAGCACAGAATAACTGTTATACTTGACTTTCGTTTATTATCTGATTTTTACGTATTTGACCCTAATGTGCTAATTGCCGCTTTTTACCGCTTTGATATTCTGTGAACTGTATATAAAACTGTTATGAAACCATTCTTCTCTCTAAATTTTCTAAATCTTCTGGGAAGTGCATGTTGGCGTGACTACTTTTCTGTTATTGTCATACCCTAATTTGGAACGAGGATCGGATCAGTTACGAAGCTTGACGATCTTTTGGTTACCTGTCACGAGCCAAACGTATGGGCCGCGATAGGAACCTGGTACCTTACTTAACTGAGTACCAACATAACGTATCTTTCATATCAATCTATCATAGGTAAACGTACCAGTGTAAATCAAGCGGGAATACAAACTTATACTTATGAAGAACAGGCCTATAAAGTCGGCATGATTCTTTATATATTCGAAACATAGGCCGACAAGGCCATACACGTATCCATACACATGGCATCTGTCTATAAGCGTCCAAGAATACATAATATCATAAAGGTCGGGATAGGGTTCCGCCATACTAATCAATACGTGTACTAATCATACTAACCAAAAAAGCAATTCCGGAGCAAATGGAGCGCACCAACACCTTCCGCTGAGTTGAAAGCCTACTTGGAGGGCTCTCGGCCTGTCTATCAGGACCTGCGGGCATGAAATGTAGCATCCCCAGGCAAAAGAAACGTCAGTACGAATAATGTACAGAGTATGTAAGGCATATAAATAAGTATATAACAGACATGGAATGAAATATAGAGAAAATGACTCAATCTGTAAGTCTGGATAACTCTGTAAATCATGGAATAATTGTAGTGTCATGCCTATGTATATAAATATCATGTCGTGCATAGGCACATGTTTAATAATATCATCAAGCCTCTGAGGGCATCCCATCATATCATCTCGGCCAATGTGGGCAACATCATCAACATATACCAGCTGATTAGGTGGTGGTGCATATATAACGACGTACTCTTTTCCCATATCCCATATACATATGATATACATAGATACACATATATAACGTCATCTGGTCATGGGTCAATGTATATGTATAAATGCATGAAATGCATAAGAAATACGTTGATTAGATTTTATCGGAATGCCAAAATTCAGTATACCTTTCGGCTAAACTTTATCAAATACGTATTTTTCTGAGACCCATGAACAAAATATATGATAATTATTCACATTGGGAATCAAAGATATAGACACCCCTAGTATTTCTATGAATAGATTCATTTATGAAAGTTGCGTATTTTGCTCGTTTCATTTGTATTACTTGGATCATGCCAAAAAGAAAGAAGTGACAGCCGTAATATACCTGGGGTAGGAAAAAATTCGTATGATATTCTTGGAAAAGATTGCACCGTCTTCCTTTAAAATCGTAAAATCTCACGTTACTATGCTGCTAAGAAATCTCGTTGAAATTGTTTTGTTTCAAGATTGATGTCCGTTCTTTGTTGGAATGAAATCTCCCGTTCTTGAATCTGTTTGGATTTTTAAAGAAGTCTTATAACTAATAAAGAATACAATGCACCCTTTAAAGTCTTTGTAGTTTTGTATGTAAGTGTCATGCAAATGACACTGAGATGCCACCTTTTAATTTGTGGTATGAGTCATTCTAATTGCATGGGGGGCTGCCACCTCATGCTTTTTTAATACTTATTCAATATATTCCCAATTAATTAGGTAATGTCCCGTTATTCAGTAATTAACCAATTACTTGTATAATTAAGAATTATCTCCACTTACTTAAAATACTATTCTCTTTTAACATTCCTTGTACGCCTTACTAGCATGGTCATGTAGTACCTTGTATGACACTAGTCCATAAATATCGAGTATTAATGCTCTACCCGTATTTTATCCCAATATGCCAAACTTGGACGAAAAATTTATTTTCTTTGACTTGCTTCCCCTCTCACCTTCACGAATTTACTCATCATTTGTTTAAAATAGCATAATCCTTATAATCTCCGTATAATCTCTTTCCCTGGACTAATGTCAATTACCTTACAACAAATTCAACGTATAATACTACAAGGTGCAACATCGTTGTAATTTAATACTATGAAGCATAACATCATTGTAACATAATACTGCAGGACGTAATATTGACGTAATATTGCGGGGCGTAACATTATTCCCCTCTTTAGAACATTCATCCTCAAATGTTAACTGATGCTCTTATCATTCTCATATCCCATAGGTCTTGCAAAAACTTTAGTACTCGTCTTGCCATCTAGGCGACTGTTCTATGAATGAATCCCAAAGGTCAGGGCATTCCCCCCTTTTAGCCTCTTTCTCACACCACGACTTGTAGTCGAAATCCTTCTAATCTCGTAACTATTACTACCTTCAATCATGCAGCCTTTACGACTCTAACTTTGTGTGTGCGCCTCACTCTTCTCTTCTCTTCCAGCCTTTAGCCAATCTCTAGGCTTCACTTTGTGAACATATACAAAATTATGTCAAGTTGTCCCTCTAGCATCATTAGCTTTACTATATCTAAGTAGGCCACACTATAACAAAATTCTTACTTCGATTTATCGTTACTGAGGTCTGCTACTGAACTCTAGGTTACTCTCGTTGCTTATCCTATATGCATAAAGCTAAATCCATTACCGCTTCTTCATTACTGTTCATTATAAGACTAATGGCCCAATCTCATCTCTTACTTTTCAACTTTTACTATCCATTGTTGACTCACCTCAATGTTGACTTACAATAATCCCTTGATAACTTGATATTTCTTACGTAATATATTGCCACTAGGGCTTACGTTGCGTCATAGAATATTTGAAGTAATTTTTCTGATACACCTAGGTAATACAATATTATATTTTCATAACCATATTTTATAGCATCCCAATGTGACTCGCCTTTCGAGGCTATTTTAATCCTGTCTAATTCATGAAGTCCCTTTCTCTTTTTTTTACAGACCATTACTCAATTGATGGCCCAAACGTCGTCCTTTATCTATCATAATCACACACCCATTCTACAGCATTCCATCTCCTCTAAATGCTATTAGTTTTATACTCCTTTGAGTTCATTCAAGCTATAGTGAGCTTTGTATAACTTAGAGAAACCGTCAGCTCTTCTTGTTTTCATGGGCTTAATCCTTATCCATTTTCGTTACCTTCTCACTCGCCCTTTCTTATCCTTACTCATCTCTTCTACAACCTTGTCACTTCACCATACAACAACTTGCGA